AGAGAATATGAAAAGGAGAGATGATCACTTGAGGGATTCATGGATTTAAAGAAAGACCACTTCATCCAAGCAAATAGGCAATCATATGGAATTCAGACTTGAAATGTCTTTTCACTATTAAATTCACCTCCTGCTTCTCTACAAGGCAACACAGGGGAAGTGGCTGCTAGTAGCTGAAGTTATACAGGAAACCCACATCTATTTTTGGTCTGGTAGAATGAGGCTGTCTTTAAGCCTTTAGTGTCACTTCACGCAAACTATAAACAGGACAGAAATTACACTGACACTAGGCCATACTGCTCATATCCATATACACACATGCAAATAAAGATCCTCTGTGGAGTGTTCTGGGAACTGACACAAGAATTTGGACGGAAGCAGAGGAAGTCATTTTGGCAATCACAAAAGTTTCATTGTAAGCAGTGAAACTGAGTGACAGTAGGCAAGGGAGCAGTTGTGTAATCTTTGCTGCTAATGCAGCTTTAAATCAAAACATGCAGACCTCACAAAATGCACATTAATAATAGAGACCATAGAAGAGACTAGCATGGTGCCAGTCGGACCGATACATCGAGGCATAACCCTGGCCGTCCTCTCCCATCTGTCCTCATTCACTGATCCTTACCAGCTGAACACATCCACACACAACTGCTTATGGTTTCAGTCTTACTGATTGATTTGGTGCTTACTGTTCATTGCCATATATTTTGCAGACTGTGGGAAAAATGTGCTTCCTGAAATAGTTCATGTCACAGCTCTGTTCTACAGTTGGTTTGTCTCTGGGGGAAAACTGCTGAAATTCCTCAATACCCACACTATGTGTATTCAATTAGTGAATTATGTAAAGAACTGCTGCAGAGGCTGCTGATGTAGCAGAGAGATGCAAGACAGGGAGGCCCTGTGCTTGGACCACACCCAGTGCACTTAAATTAAACTGAGGTCTGCAGAGCTACACTAATCACAGAGGCAGGGCCTCTGTTTGTATGTATGTGTATAACATCTTGTCTGCTACTTTAAAACTTTGAGAGATGGCGAATGGACAAACATAACATCAAGTGTATAAATGAGACATGCAGGAGTTTGAAATCATTTTATTTTTTATCTGCAGCTTTCAAACTGTATATAACAGTCTGACAGCTGCTGCATTGTCCATCTGAAATATAGCTTCTGCTCTGAGCACTTGTGATTCTTGACTATTTATCATCTCACTTTTAAGTTGTTTCTGTTTTCAGTCTGTTCTCATGATAACCCAGTCATTTCTCTTGTCATGGAAATGGAAAGTGAATATCTGAGTTTGTTTTATAACTTAACTGCTGATAATTTACAGCAGGCAACAGTCCTGCTGAGTGATATAATCACATTAATGAGCCAAGAAGCCAAAGGTGAGGAACAAATCATGAGAGTGTGTGTGTGTGTGTGCTGATCTCGCGGTCTGAGCCAAGCATAACACACACACACACACACACACACACACACACACACACACACAGACAGGCATGATCCTTTCCAGAAATAAACTCTGGATTTAAAATGCAACTAGACATAAAGCACACATCAGAAAATTGGCAAACCAATGAAATTCTCCAATCACTTGCAAATGCTAGCTGAATGAGCTAAACTGCGTTCTCAAGTGGATCTTTTCAAAGCTTTCAAAGGCTGGACATGGACCAAACAGTGCTTAAAGATACACTCACCATCTGGAAACAGTGGCATGAAAATGGAAAGCACTGCAAAGCAATATGAAAAAACAAGCTGACATAAGAGGAGAGCAGGAATTCCGTCAGCTGGTCACTTAGCCTTTATCCCACCCAGGCCGGCTACAGTCAGTGTGGGACTGCTGAGTGGTGTTACAGACATAAATGACTATTCAGCAGTGTGTCACCTCATGGAGCTGTGTAAGGACATTTAGACAGGGCTGACAACTGCATCTAGCCACAACCTAATGGGGACTGGAAAACCACCATAACGATGCAAAGAAAGAGCAATCAACTGAACTGAACTAATGCCTATTTTCAGCTATTTCTTCAAGTGGTCTATTTGCAATGAACACCAGAACAACGAGCCTCTTTAAAAACAACTAAGCATCAGTTTCACATCAGCAAAATGACATGGCTGCCACAGGTCTAACTAGCAAGCTACAGCACAGGAGCCCATGTGTTTTTTTGTTTGTAATTGAACAGCACAGGTCTAAACAAACCAATGAAATACAACAGCATTCTTCTCTAGTATTGTTTAGACTAGAGAACAATGTTTCAGGTGCCATCAGCCACTATAGCAACACTGAAAGGTTTATTGTTCCAAAAATTTCCAATAATCTTTCACTTGACTTTTATATTCTTGTTTTGATCAAATCTTCCTTTAACTCATCGAATAATCCCAGGTTCACTCTTACAAAAAGAAAAGGGCCATTGTGCTTTTCATAACTAGACCTGTATGACTAACACAACAGTGGTTCAGGTTCACACCCAGTCCTGAACAGCAGCTGAACATGCATCAGTCACACAAATGTCTAAATACAATGGAGTTTCTACCTGTGTGGGGAAGCGCAGCAGATCTTCTGATGCCCTCTGAAGGACAGGCAGGCCGTTCCCTCTCCCTGTGTCTCCGTTCACCATGAGCCCACCTCCCCCTCCTCTCTCCCTCGCTGCTCCTCCTCCTCCGCCATCTGAGTCTGATGAAGGAGAAAGCTGGCCCGAGGCGTCGGTCAACATCTCCCTGACGCAGGGCGGGTTGAGGTCAACATGGAACTCAGCTGAGATCTTACAGCTCTTGGAGACGTCAAAAAGAGCCAGGCTGATGAAGAACGGCTCCACCTGGGGTTCAGCAAAAAAATGGTTTCTCATTTCAGTGCATCTGTCAGAATTTATATCATCAGTGGGTAAATTAACTGTACATCACATTTGACACAGTTTTATATATATATATTTTACCATAATTTCTCCATTAGCAACTCACTCTAGTAATTCTTTTCCTTTTTTCATTTCACATTTGGAATTATACTTTAAATGGTCCAAAATGAGAATGATAGTTAACCCTACGTTATTCCTTCAGGGGACAGCACAGCAAAGGAGGTTTGTGGAGTTTAACTCCTAACTTAATACTAGTGTGAACACCTACAAGTTTAATGAATGGTTAAGAGACAGATTAGCCTGGAGTTACAGTAAATGCAGTGCAAAATCTCTTATTGTAAAAGGGCCACATATTTGGATGCCCATGTTTTAACATGAGGTTTATAACATATAAAATGTATATATATGTGACAGAAAACCAAAACAGGCACAGAGATGCATGAAAACTCTTCCGCCTTCATGGCCCACCTCCAATATGAGACCTCACAGGTCAGTGCCAGCCTCCCATCTGCCTGCATGAGAGAGGCTGGCAAACTAGCATCAGTATGGAATTCAGTTCAATCTGCAACATTTAATATTGTAGACCTACTGCATACACCTTCTGCCCTCATGTACATTTAGCTTACATATAGCAAATGCTGGCTCTACACTAATGCAGCAGCCTGCACTTTTCACAATGACATACACAAAGTGGTTCCTGCAGGATGGGCAAGCCTCACTCCATCCAGTAAACATTAAACTGATCTGACTCAGTTCAGTTCTTAGACCAGCCCCTCTAATGCACCGGCAAACTGAGGGAGGAAGTCTGACTCAGTATTTTATGATTATAGCAATCCACTCACATATGCTGCCTCATGCCTGCTGGGGCTCTTCACTCATGACAGATCCAACATTTCCACATTCATCAAACTCAGTTTACATACTGTTTTGAACAGATTTTCTCATAAACAAAATGAGGAAATATTACAACACTATGGAGTTGTGCCGTCCCCCATGGCCTGGTTACTTGCATTGCTTCTAGACAGGCCAATATGAATAATGAAGGTATATTATGTAGGGCAGCACTGCAGAGGCTGAGAGTAGCAGATGATACGTGGTGTAAAAAGGAAGCGGTGTGTTGAGAGGTAAACGGGTGGGGTCCACGCAGTCCGCCCGGGGGATTCAACTCGGCGGGCGAGGGGCGGCCGCACGGTGTGGGAGAATCCCCTCGACGGGACCTCTCCCCGGCGCCGGCCGGCCCCCGCTGGGCGCATTTATGCTTATGCTTTTTGAGTCTTTAAGGATTAGCCTCGACCTTGATGACAGATAGAGACAGGTTTTAGTCTAAAGTTCATCCCTTTGATAAAACCCAAGACAGTGGTGTGGTTGCCTATCTGACTGTGAACGGTTTTAGGCTAAAGTCCTTCATTGGTAGAACTGTGAGAAGAAACATAGAAAGAAGAGGAGGTTGTAGCAAAGTTATCAAAGCAAAATATGAAATGCATCTGTGCTGCGGAGGTTAAGTAATAACATACATTGGTGAGAACGCTGTCGCCCTTCTCACTAACGCAACCCTGGAGACTGAAGGTCAGATCATGGCAGCTGACCATGATGCGCCGGCCAAAACGCTCCTCTAATGGCTTCACATCTGGCTCAATGCCGGAAAAGTCCAGTCTCTGGATATCAGGAGGGGAGGAGGAGAGGAAAGGAGAAACCAGCAGAGGTCCAGTGGGGAGGGGACATGAGCAGAAGAAGGAAGAAGAGGATGAAGGAGAAGGAATGAGTGTAGATAGGGGAAAGGGGAGGAGAGATAAAGTATATTGAATCAATACTTAAATAAATAAATCATAGCCAAGTGTTCAGAGATGCATCTTGTCTACCTGTGTCTCAGGATCCAGAGAGAAAAGCTTCTGTCTGTTCTCGTTCCTGTTGATCTTATTGAGCTGGTCTGTCTCCCTGGTGTACTGCAAACACACAGAGAAATAAAATGCATCGTCATATAATGTATTAACCATTTGCCATGTTTTACCAGTTTATTTAACCAGTCACCTTGCTATCTATCTATATATATGTTATATTGTATTCTGTATTTGTGATTTCTGCTACATTTGCGATTCTCATGCATACAATAAAAACTTATGGATTTTATTTTTAGAGAAGCCGGGAAAAAGGTGATGTTCAGGTTATAATGAACCAATAAGACTGAAGAAAAGCTGTCAGCAGACCCAGACAGGAAGGGAACGAAGGGCATCAAGAGACAAACATATCAACCCCTCAGGTCACACTAAGAGTCCCAATCCATCTCCTTGCCCACTTCTCCTCCCCTTGTTTCTGCACTCACTGTGTCCAGCCTGCAGAAAACCTCAAGTGATCTTTTGCTGGAATGGCCCAGAGCAAACACTCTGAAAACATCAGCACAGAGCACTGAGGGCTCTGTTCTGTGTGTAGCTCGGGGTTTATAGACATGTTACAGCAGCAGGGTCTCTGTGGAGTAAATACCACTGTTCTCAGGCTTAGACAGACTCATGCAGTGAGTCAAACAAAAGAGCAGCTCCTCCATCATCTCAACATTTATAAAAGGCATCATTTAGCTGATTACTATTCATGTCATTAAATTCTTATAAGGAGACAAATGTTTCCCTTTTCATTTTATCACTATAAAAAATACATTACACCAATAAACCTGTCCATAAGGGGTGTAAATAACTAACATGTCAATGTGAAATCTTCAACCATTTCTGTATACATCTTAGTAACTGAGTCAGTCAGTCTGAGTTAACCCATGTTTCATACCTTCATAAGTTCAGGGTGTAGGCTCCTCCCCAGGCTCTCCAGCAGGCTGTCACCTTTACCTTGGCTGTCATCATCTGATTGGACAGGACAGTGATCACACATGGATTGAGGTCGATTTGACAGAGACAACAAATCCCGCTACTGCACATCAGGCCCAGCAAAACGCTGCTTACACAGTGTTTCCTTTTGGCTCCCTTTGTGTCTCTGCAGGAGTTTATATCTTTCAGTCTACTGGCCAAATTACAAAGAGGCCATTCACTATTCTGCTGACTTTCAGGTGACACATGATGGACTGAGTGAACTCAACTGACCCTCCATCTTTCTGGATAACTCTCCAGCGTCTTGTGAGTAGCTTGGAGATTTGTGACCAGCTAGGCCTATAGGGTCTCACTAGAATATTATTATATATTATTTAAAAAAAACTGTCTCACAAATGCCAGCATAACATACAGTATGCAAACTGAATAACTCTGCTGGCATTCTTCCACAGCCCAGGACAAGAAACGAGTTCAACAGTTCACCATAACGGCACCGTAAAGAAACGCACACTAGAGAGAATTTGGGAGTGAAACTAAAAACCAAAACAGACAAATTTAAGTCTTCAGACCCCTGAGCTTCAATTTACTTGTACCTGCACAGCTGAACATCATTCAGATGGAGTTACAGCTGATGTGCAAGCATATTACAACTGTCTCTCCACTGGCAGCAACAATACTCCAAGTGTAGTGTAAAGCTTATTTACTGCCTGTGTATGTGATATGTAAGCAGCTAAACAGTCATAGTATGGAGCCTGGATTAGGTGTGTGTGTGTGTGTGTGTGTGTGTGTGTGTTCGGGGGAAGAATTCACATATCTGTGAAGTACTTTTTACTTCACAGATATGTTAGTGCTCAGATATAGGTGTCGACAACTCACCCAGGGCGCAGTCCAGTGACTCTGCACCATTCCTCCTGTCCTGGCCGGCCTCAATGCTACTCTGCAGAGCCTGTTTCAGCGTAGCCACCCACTCCTCCATCTCTGCTTCGCTGTCTGCAGCCAGGAAGTGGCTGTAGCGGTCTTGCATCTTCAGCTCGAAGCCATTACGGCGCATTTTAGGACTCTGTCAAAAGAGTCGTTATTTTGTTTAGTTTAATTATTTTATTTATGTATTTTTACTTCAAACAAAACAATAATAAATCAAATCTCATGCACAGTAAATACAAAAACCAAAAACTACAACAATAATGTCAGGGCAACACAAAAGGAATAAAACAAAAAAAGAAAAACATACAGTAAAGTCAGTGTCGCATTTAAGAGATCTTTTAAATGTGGCACCGACTCAGCTGGGGGCAGGGAGGTTGGTTTCACAGTGCTGAGCTTAACAGTAAAAGCATGATCCATCTTAATGCCCGGACGATGGAGCTCTGAACAACATGTGGGTTTCACTTCTGGGGATCTCGGTGTAGAACAAAGAGATGTACAGCAGAACCAGACCAGGGGTTTACAAGTGATTAACAGAATCTCATTCTGAAATGAATAGAGAGCCAGTGTAATTCAGCCAACCTTGGACAGGTGCAAAACCTGGTTTACATGTCAAAAACAGAAGCTTTCACATTACACCCGCTGGCCAGAATGAGTCGCTCACTCTGCCTATTCATCTCCTGAGTGTGTTCATCAAAGTGAAAGCGTCCTGGCAGCCTCTCCACTCAGTGCGGTCTGAATGAGGAACCAGGCTGTGCCATGAGCCAGTAGATGCAGCCCCTATAGTCTGTGGGGAACAGATTTTCTTGCCCCAGTCAGGGGAAAGCAATAAATTTACCCAATCAAAGCTCCTGGAGCGTGATGAGACAAGGAAACTCACTGACATTCATCAGTGTATGAATGAAAACACCCACAGCGGGAAAAGAGAAGTACACAAAGAGTTTACAAGTTGGTCAAACTGCAAGAAAATTCTGCTGCAGTTACGTAGGCTTGTCAACGGTGCATTTGGTGCGTGTTTTTTTTTTTTTTTCAGGCCTCTATACCTGAACGACATCTATGCAGGAGTCCAGGTAAAAGTTGTGCAAACTGCAAGAAAATTCTGCTGCAGTTACGTAGGCTTGGCAACGGGGCATTTGGTGCGTTTTTTTTTTTTTTTTTACAGGCCTCTATACCTGAACGACATCTATGCAGGAGTCCAGGTAAATGGATCCTTTGGTTTCCTTGCAGTTCTTCTCATCTTTGTAGGAGTTGAGGATGTAGGAGCCGTCAGGGAGCTGAGACAAGTAGAAGTACCTCCTTTTGAACACCTGTAATCAACAGCAAGTCAGAATGACTCGTATCACAGCTCCTTACAGAAAAATGCAGAATGAAATGAGGTTTCTGAACTGTTGTTATTGCCTACATTTATTGTTATTGCTCCGTTAACCAAACCATCTATTTTATCGATTAATCTTTTAGGCCTTTTATCATTTACATTTAAGGCTCTTTGTTTTTATATTTACAACTGCTTCCACTGCAGTTACTGTTAGTTTTATGGCCTTATTTTGTTTAGTTCTATTTTATAAAGCCCATGGAGACCACTGACAAGTGCTGTAGCAGAGTTCTATTGTCATAGTTTATGGTTCGTGCACCTGTAGACAGTGATTTCTTAATATTAATATACAGTACGATGGGATATAATAACAGACTAGGAGGGAGAATTGTATAACTGTAATGGTGTATCATCTATGAAGGAGGGCATTGCCTTGTCTACCTAGTTTGTTGTGAAGCCTGTGTGATGTTTCATTTGTTGCTGTTGTGCAGTATGAATGTCAGACAGCAGGTCTGGTGATGACTCACCCTCATGGAGACAGACAAACTGCTGTTGATGTTGGCTTTATGTAGCCAGCCCTGTTTCATGATGCCGCCCCTCTGAGAGCACAGTGATGATGTGTCCTGACAGATACAAACACAGGCGATCATTTGAGACGGGGCCATCTTTATTTAGGTGAATGCTTCTTACAGAGAAAACGTCACGTACATGTAGAAAACACAGGCTCAAAAGCCTGATATTACTGCCAACATTTACAGAACTTAATACATCTGCACGAAACATTATTCATTCTTTTCTGATAAGTAGCCAGTTGTGAGAAATGCTCACTGACCACAGTTGCAGTATATTAGCATCTGATCATAAATCAGAATCAGTCGCGTTACTGCAGCCTTGCCACCTCACAACTGTCACGGGACCGTTCATCAGTACCACAAAACACACAAACATTCATCACAAGAGACTGGTCTCTTAGCGAGCACTCTCACAAACAAACCCACACCCGCCCACTCGGGGGCAAAGCATCTAGCCACTTAGAAGAATTTTCAGCACAAGGAGGCCTCATTCACCTAATGTGAGCCTGGAACATGACACACACATCATGTCACTGAGTGAAAAGGGTTGAGGTGTGTAAAGGTGTCCTGTCAAGATGAGTCTAATCACACTGAAGTGACGCTTTGTCCTGTGTGCATCACACATCACCCTCTCCCTACAGCTTCGTCCTCTAATCTAATTGGCTGTCAGATCTCCTGCAGCTCCCGCCCATCCTTCCTGTTCTTTCCTCACACACTCAGACTAACAGTGTCCGACCACCATGTACACAACCTTCACCGCGCAGTCACATACTGCATCCGAGTGCATTATTATTGATTTATTGTCATGAAATTGCAGGAGAAGGGAAAAGATCAAATAAAAGACAAAAAAGCAAACATTTTTACTGGTAGATCCTGTATAGAAGGAAGACATAAGGGTTGAGTGCCCTACATACTATTAGACAGGAACAATAATGCAATATAACACTAGCATGGACCATAAAAGAGCCATCTCACTGCCCTTCCCTCCAGGCAGCAAAAAGCATTCATCTTCCTTCAATTAAACCCATTCTGTTTCTATGTTTGTCCATGTCCTGCCCGAGGGTAGGGGGAGGAGGATCAATAAGAGCTATTTATAGGACATATAAAGCATCTGGTTTCACAGCCCCATGCTCTGTGTCCATGGACTGACGCTGCTGGGTGGACGAAAAGCCCAGCAAGCCATACTGTAAGTCACTGGGACAATCACCAGTTCAATGCATGTCCATGCTGAGCATAGCTTTCCTCTTTGCCTGCATTTTCAGATACATTATTCAGACATGCTGAATAAGCCAATTTTGTGTCTCATCTCGGCAATTCAAAATGATTAAAAGGGATCCTTTTAATTTCTCTGAAGGGTTTATAGCCCATCACTAAAAGCTGTGCCTGGATGTATGGTGCACTCTCTTCATAAAGGGTCTGGTGAGGCAACTGCAGACCACTCGACCTCCCTGCCGTGATTAATTTCAGTGATCTAACAACGCTGCGGCCCCTCTACTCACCTCGTCTTTGGCGTCTTCATCGACCTCAAACACGTGAGCTGGCAGCTTGTCTGTCTTCATGCCTTTGCTTTGAAGAGACAGTGAGAGAGGGTCAGCAGCCTTCAATAAATCAGCCCCCTCCCCTCTGTACTTCACCGCAGTGAGGTCAGGTGAGTTCTTTCCAACTTTACTCTTGATAAAGCACGTAGCAAATTACTGTCTGATTTAAACACATCTTGCACCGTCTCCACTTCCATGTCCGTCCTGTACTGCTCAGTAAATCTTGCACCCCAGTGTTTAACGTTTTCATCCTATGGATTTTAACAGGTGTTTGGACAATGATGTCCCACTTGTCCAATTCACTCTAACTTATGGTTTAAGTGCAGGATGCACTGATAAAATTATTTCCTTAGCAAGCTTTATCACAGTTGAAATACAGCATGAATTCAAAACATCTGGGCTGCATCTGTTGTGTCAGAGGAATATTGCGCTGATCTCAGTGCAGTTATTTCAGTTTGTATACAATCTTTTCTGTCTTCCCTGAAGCATAAGCTCTGTTAATATACAAGAACAGTGTTTTATCTCAATCAGACCCATGTGAGATGACCTATTCTCTTGTACACATTACATAGTTGGCAGTAAAACCTCTGATGATGCTCTGCACAAACTGAGTTCTAACCCTCTAAATTTCTGCACATATCCAGACTGCATTGCTAATTTCTTTTTTTTTTTTAATCTTCCTTACCTCGGCAACATACGGAAGTCACCAGAGTAAGCCTCATATTTGTAGTTGATCACACGCCAGTCTGTGTTGTACATCTTGATGCACTGCCAAACAGGTCAGCACAGAGAGCTGGATTAGGAGCAGCAGACATATAGAACAAACAGCCCTGCCGTGACTTCGGCTTGGTATTACTCAGGATGGTTGTCGTTGCGCACATCACTTTTTATTCAGTGTGAAACTGCAAGCAGAAATTCTCAGTTAGGTTGACTGAATGGAGCTTGGTTCAGTAGAAGCTGAGTAAGCCTGGGTCTGTTTTAGCAGTCTCTGTGACAAGTTGTTTCCATGCTATATCATCCTCATGAGAGCTGGCTGCAGTACACAGGCTCAGAGCCTGGCAGGAGCAGCACAGTGTGTCCACATCAGGCCAAGAACGGTCTGGTTCTCATTGCTAATACAATACATCATCAATGCTTCATGTGTTTCCTACTGGCCTGTGTACTCTGTGTTTCTTTATGTGTTTCAAGTGATTGCTTTAGGCTGAAGTCATGTGTGAAGTTGTCAGGAAACCATCTCTTGTCTAAGATTTGAATGAGATTCTTATAAACAAAACAAGTAAAAGTCATATACATTATTGAGAAGATTTAATGTCTTGGTTATTTTTAGAAAGCACCAGATGTCACTGCTGAGCAACACACACAGGACAGCAGGATTATTGTACCTCCTTGGCAAACAGACTCCTGGCCTCCCGCTCAGCATTCTGGGGCACTGAGGGAACAACAGTCCTCCTCTGCCGTGAGATCTGGGACTCCTGCTCGAGTACACACGCACACACACACACACACACACACACACACACACACACAACATGTTGGTGATACTTCTTTGCCATCTCATAAAACTGTAGCACAGCAGAAAACCTCACACAACAGGCAAAGGGAAAGGGAGTGAGAGTGAAGCGTGTGAGAAAACAGAAGGCAGAGATACAGAGAAACATGTGTCAACAGATTCGCTGAGGATGGGAAAAAGATAGACAGCGAGATGTGCTTCTAAACAAAACCACATGTGTGAAGCAGCGCCAGTAAACACACAGCAGCGGTGCATTGCATTTGACTGGCCAGGACTCTTGGGCTGACCCACAAAAAAACTGAGCCTCATGAGTCGGGGTGAACAGTGTTTAATGATGGGAAATCTATCTTTATAAAGTGATATTTTACAGCTCTCTGTTGCTGCTTGAGTCAGGCAGTTTTAGAAGAAAAATGTTGCTTCTTTGGCTGTTTACTGTGGAAATTTGCACTGGACCCACATACTGGAGGCTGTGGAGTGAACATCAGTGGTGGAGGAGATCCATAGTTTACAGAGTTATGGCCCTGGCCCCTGATTCACAGTCCAAATAAACAGCTAAACTGTTTTACAGGTTTACCACCAAAAACACAGTAGTTCTGCTGCTTTAAATACAGAATGTGTATTGTCATGCGACTCATTTAAAGGATATATTAAGTGTATAACAGCTTGTGGCTGCATTTCTATCTGTTATAACAACACTGGCTTCACCAAGGTAATTGCTGAGATCTGGGACAGTGAAAGAGATGTACACTGATAATACGATTAGACAGGTTAAAAACAACTGTTTAACAGATTCATTTGAAGGTACATCAAAGCGGGAGGGCACCTGAAGACCTTGAGATTTGTGCGCTTGTGTCTCCTTAGCTAGGCCTATGTCACAGCAATCCATTTTGTAGGAAACTAGATTTGTACTTAACATTTTACAACACAGCAAAAGGCATCTACAACAACAAATGCTCCAAGATATTTTTAATCCCATATCTCAGCCAGCCAATTATAACAATGTTCTTAATTAGTGATAACTTTGGAAACAGACTGATGAAAAATGGGGAGAACTGAACTACCCTGACAATTTACTGTGAGGAGGCAGTAAACTGCTTGGTTCGTGACTTCGTGTGGTGATGGAGGCAGCCCGAGCTAGAGCCAGCCCCAGAGGGCACAGCGGTGGAGGATGAAGAGACTCACCGAGACATCGTCAACGGGGCAGAGCAGCAGGTCTCGATGGGGGTCACTGTGGATCTGGGCCTTTCTCTGAAACACCACGGCCTCATAGTCCAGTGGTTCAATGATCTTTGGCTGCTCCTGAGAGGCAAAGACAGACACAACACCAATTTCAGTCTCATGTTCTGATCATGTTTTCTTTTACTTTTCTGATTTTTATTGTGACACGCTCCACACAGCCCTGCTACATGAAAGCAGTTAACAAGAGTTCACTCCCAGAAGCCTTTCACCACCCGTGTCACTGCAGAGCCACAAGAGACCGGAAAGAGAACCATAAACCACAGGGCAGAGCAGCAGTTGCTCAGAGAAATGGGGGTGGATTTTAAACAAATGGCAAAAGCTGAAGAAAGGGAAATGACTGAGAAGAAATATGTAGGCAGTAACAGAACAGAAAAAGAAGGCGAGACAAAAATGCACTCCAAAAGACTCTAGTATTTGACTTGAATGATGTGAGTGGACACATGTGCTTAGCAGAGGCATATGTAATAATGAAACAAAAAAATATATTTTTCCACATACCACTCTGCTGTTCTTACTAACCTTCTTAACTTCCTGTTTTGAGTTTCATAGAGAAGTGGGTGATATATAAATGAGCCGCCCCATTATGTCAAAGAGGCCTGTAAGCTAAAACCAAGCATTCCACAACTAGGTCACGATGTGATCACAAGTATAAACCACCACTTGGAAAGAATCAGAATTAATTCCAAGAAAGTGCCACTTTAAGCCGAAGCTGAGCAGAGGAGACGGTGATGAATAGCTAAGCCAATAGGCTTTGGCTGAGCAGCACCAGTAGAGGACCTGTAGGGATTTGCTCAGCTTCTGTGCCACATTACTGAGCCACTGCCACTGAGGCTGTGGGCAAGACATGCGGGGCAGCCGACATGAACAGGCCCAGTGGGGAGGAGGAGTTTATGAGTTTCCATGTGGACTTGAGTCAGAGTTCCATTTAAGTGTGTGGGTGTGGGTGTGGGTGTAGGTGGGTGGGGGGTTGTCAGACAGCTACAGCTGGCTTCACTCTGTCACTGGGTGCACTGACGTGCGGTTACTCTGGAAACAAGCTTATACCTGGGTAGAGGCCTTTTAGACATATGCAGATTTATTTTATTGTTCCCAATTAATTCTGTAAAACATGCCGTTGTCCCCATAAATTCACTAAAAACATATCTGCCAAATTGCCTTTTTAATGAGACATCTGAACAGTTTGTGATTTCACAGTGATATGCATATGTTTTTCCAAACTTTACGCTTGATTGCTGCTTATTTACTGTATATGATTTGTGCTTGAAATATTTGAAACATATACTACACAGAGGCTTAAAGTTGCAAAAGTCATGTTACTCCACATTGTCCGACAGCATCACGTTTTGTAGCTGATATGTTTGTTATCTTTGGAAGGTTTTGGATATTTCTCACTATCCTATAACCTTACAGAGAACTAAAACTGCACAGGACAGCAGTAAAGACTTAGGCTCTGCAAACAAAACAAAAAACCTGTGCACTGAGAGCAAAGCTCATAGGTCAGCAACCACAATAGACAAACTGCAAACAAAGTAAAGAGCATTATATTATATACAATATAAACACTCACTCATATTCAGAGGTGTTCCTAATATTCTGACCCTCTCATTATGACAAAAATATATAGACACCTCTGAATATAATGTAGTCCAGTACAACACCACCTTTAATTATGACTTCAATAATAAACATAATACTGAATTTATACATTTGACAATTTCACCAAAAACAAACATTTTGAGCTTCGTAAACACAGATGTGAAGGTGGAAGTGTTACACTGAAGTGCACACAGTACATTTGTACAGGTGCACCTAATAAAGTCTTTTTTATGAAAATAGTTCTGATTCAATCCGTTTGTTTGACATACATAACTTTTTTTTGGTTGCAAGGAAATTTATTTTGATTGTAGTACCAAAGTTTTGCTTTCAAATGTTTTCTAGTAGTATAGTTTAAGGGCTTTAAATATTCATCTGGAATGTCCTAGACAAGATAACCTGTGAAATAAGCTTGATATCCCTTCAGATTTTTCACTGTAGGATCCACTTTCGCTTTCTTGGTTGACCGCATAAACCCTACATCTCACATTTTTGAACCATTAATTTAAATGAAACTTTCCTAACCCTAATATTAAAGGTGCACTACGTAGCATCGCTGTTACTTTCCCACACACATTGACTCCTTAGTAGACGACCAGCCGCCTGAGTGGCAGCAGAACACAAGGCTTATGTATGAGTCTGCTGAAAGCTTTGCTTCCTGTCATGTGCAACCAGCTGCACCGCAACACTACAAGTCAGAGGCAACAGCTTAGCTGCACACAGCACACCACTGCAACACTGATCATGTTACAGTGAGAGAAAGAGGGAGGAGAAGCAAGCTCAGAGAGAAGGAAAAGAGAAGAAGACAGGCAGCAGTGAAGCCAAAGTCTCACTGAATGAGAAACAGAGAAACACAAAAACACCAAAAAGGATATGGCCCAACACTTGTATAACTATATGATGCATGCAACCAGGACAACTATCAACCTGAACGGAGAACACTCACACCACTCACCAAGGACAAAACAGCTCCCAGTCTGCCTCCAGGGGCCTGTGATGATGATGATGCTAGTGAGGGTGCATTTCCAGATGTCTGTCCCGTTACAGTCAAGCAGATGTAAGGCACTCGTATCACACTGGGAGCGAAACTTACACCTCGACACAACAGATGAGTGCGCTCACAGACATCAGAACAGTACAAAGCATCTGTCCCACAGCTGACCCCGCTAGGTGATCCAATCTGTGTGTATGAGCTACACAGACACACAGCAGCTCAACCCAGGGAAGAAAGGAGCCAAGCAAGTCTCTGTATATAAACAGAGTTTGTGGCTGCATCCGCATCATTTCCCATCAGGATTTAAATACCAAAATAGAAGCAAATGATTTGGAATTGAAGTTTCCATTATCCAACTTAAGTGTAGAGAGCTACAAAATACAAGTGTTTTTCCTAATCATTTTAACTTGCTTATTTACGGGATTATAATGATGGGTTGTTGTCTAAACAATGGGAGACTTTTCTCACCCACCCCCAAATAGTGTATTTAATCTTTTATTTTATCTACAAGTCATTACATGCATAACTGTAGAGACACAAGGTTTCACAGGACAGTGACATCAGCTGTTCCAGCCATACACGGTGACATTTAAATGCAGACTGACATGTGTAGTTGGGTGTAAGATCACACAGAGGCTGATGTTTCTGTCATCCGCGCCCTAAAAGTCGAGCGATTTTGCTTTTACCTGTGAGCAGTGGTTCACAGACCTTTTCTGTCATGCCCTCATTTGAAAGCCAAAAGCATTTCATGCACACCATACGCCTTAAATGCACTAGATTTTTATTAACATGACACTAAGGAAACTAATAACAAGTAAAGTTGAATTTTCATAAAATAAAATGATAAAGGGCACAGCTTAAATGCACAAAAGTCACCACAGACTGCCTACTAACCTAAAACTTGGCGGTTTTACAGGCATTATCAGCAACCCACATAAGTCAGACTCCCAAGTCCTTTGCGTAGCAGGAAAAGCTCAGGTGGAACTAACGACATTAATAGTGGCTCTGCTCCAACAAATACTGCAAGCTGCATGTAATTATTTTATGCTTTACACCTGTGTTTGTCAAGTCAAAATTTCTGCTGTAAACAATTCACTCTACATTATAACCCTTAGTCATGTGCACCCATCCTGCAATGGGTGCACATGACCCTCCAACTGTACCAATGTGAACCACTTAAAGCTACGCTGCCTAATTTCTTTCAATCTGCTAAAGGGAGACTCACCACATCCCGTCTGATTTTGACTTGCTTTATCAGACAATGTGTAAAACCTTGATTCGTTTATCAGTGAATTGGTCTGTTATAATATCTGAAAAGCACCAGATATTCTGTTTCTTATCATATTAGACAAAAGAAAGCCAAATAATGTTCACATTTGAAAAGCCAGAAGCAGCAAAACTTTGGCTTTGTTTGCTTCCAAAATGACATTTCATTATCAAAACAGTTATCGAATGATTTATTCCTTATTGGTTTAGATTTTGATGATAGTTGTACAGTTGTGCAGCACTAACATACAGTATGTGGCCCTGCTCTTTATGTGTACCTGCTAGTCATCACATAGCCTGAGAATATGTAGCAACTCTTGTGTTTAAACTGGTATCTAGTCTGTGTTGATACTAATATCGAGCCTATGTTACCAGAGGATTTCCCCATGTGAACACACCAGAGAGTGACTAGGAAGCAGTAACCCACATGGCAGCAGTTGTCTGTATGTCAGAGGTTATTCTTTTTAGAATCAAGTAGTCCTTTAGGTAACTGTATGGTCTCTTCTAATGTTCAGGTATAATAGACCACTAAACACAGATGAACTCCAGGACGACCAATAATCACTGACAAATCAGCTGATGGAAATTCTCATAAAGCAGTTTAGCCCATAGGTTGTCTGGATCATTTAGAAATAAAAAAAAAGTTCCTTGTTATAAACTTTATTTGACTTTCTGCTTAAAAACATGTCAAATCAATTTGCTCACTGGGAAATTAAAAAAAGAACGAGCACACAAACACACAGTGGGAGCATGGTGACAGCATGCCTGAGGGAATCCCCATGCACCCTCCACAAAGCAGCATGTGTTCTCAGTTACCAAGCCAACCATTTGCTCCAGAAACCTAAACCTGCTTCTCTACAACTGACAAAATACATAATGCACACATGAGCACGTGGCTGCACACACTCCCACCTGTTCTGGAAATCAGAACCTTATCACAAGATTATTATGCTGCAAAACTCTTTGTGTCACACTCCCCAAGATGATCATAAGGCTACGGGGTAATCCCAGAGGAACAAGAGTTCATATCTCCGATACAAACACATCCAGCTCCGTTCTCTAAACAACCAACGATGAGTTGCAGTTTGTCACTGTCACATATAAGAAGGTTACCAGATGGTTTTAGGTAGAACAAGCATCATTTCAACATGTGACCATCAATCTGCACCATCATCACTGTGACTTAGTGGCATGAAAATGATTTCACACACAAATGGGAGTGCATATACACATCAGTGCTGTGCCACCAGGGATCCTAAATGCAATTCATCTCAAGCCACTGCGCCTAATCCCTCCTCATTATTGCAGTCTGTCCCAAGGCACCAGCACTGCTGCTCAGTCAAATGATCTTTTGCTTTGCACTCTCATCATCATCAATACACAGCAATTACAAGGACATGCATGAACTGAACTGCATTCCATTTCACAATGTGGCCGTTTCCAGCAGAAATAAAGAGGCACACAGCGCGCCAAGGCAAAGACAGGGAATCCATGCTGCAGCTGTCCAGCTGGCACTGCTACTCAGCCGCCAGTCGGCACACAAAGGGATCCGCACCACATTCACAAACCATGTGTGCCTGTGAGGACAATGTCACACTATTTTCTAATGCAATTTAGAAAACCAAGCCAACATATGGGAGCCGATCTCACGGTATGTAATCATTTAACATTACACGGTGCGTAGCACTGCTGGAAAATCGGTTCAGTGCATTCAGCAGAGCCTCGCAGGAGCTGTAAAGGTTGGTAGGACAAGCGCAGTGCATAAAAACTGAAAGGAAAAAAAACTGAAATGAGCCGACTAGGGGTGTGCGGATAAACCAGAAAGGCAGCCGGATAATTAGAAAACAGTAACAGAAATGCGCACCCTCCTCAAAGGGACAGAGGGGACAGGAAGTTAGCGGGCCAACCGGTTGGGTACATTATCTCTGTTAACTAAAATGACCGCCGGCGATCCACAGACTGCTCACCACAAGGTCCACGGTGCTCCTCACAGCCTCCGAAACGCTCTGCCTGACTTCCGCGGCCGTCCCAGGTTTGCTTAATCTCTTTGTGAATTTTCGCACCTCGGACATGGCGCTCCTCTGGGTAAAATCCGCTTCGTATGTCCCGGTGTGACTGTGAGCATGCCGCGATACCGGATGCAGCGGCAGCAGCTCTGCTGTGTGACAGCCAGATGTGGGTTGTGTTGGCGGTGAACCAGCCAGCTGTTCGCGTCGCGAGGCGGGGCTGGTGCTGCTGATGAGAGAACAGAGATGGGTTAACACGGCGAGATGCTTCACTCCTACCTGCTTCCGTCAGTGGAGAGGACTTAACAAAGACCGTGAAGAGTGGGAGTGTACCCGACAGCGTTTCTTACCGATTTGGAAATTTAACCTTTATTTGTGGACCACACACAAATGGTAACTTTAATGAATGAAGGAGCTGAAAACTGTTTGTGAACAGGAAGTTGGCTCATTTGGCAGCTGGAATTATAAATGATTGGACATAGAATTAAAGAGTGTCAAAAACAGCAAACATCCATTATTTTGTCTCTAGGGCTTCAGTCTGTGCCAATTTTAAAATGGTTAAACCACCTCTTATGTTCATTTCTCAGGAACAGCAGTGATGTTCCTGGGCTAATTTTACCATTACTAACCTTCTCAGTCATTATTTAGTGCAATGGTGTTCTTTACCTGTCACAGATTATGGTTCAATGAGGATACTGCACTCGTTTTTCATAATAAAGTCATGTTAAAAGTTTGTATTAAATGTACATTGGAAATACCTACATATAAAATGCATTACCTTTACATGACACTGATTTTTTTTTAAATTAAATTTTACATTTTGAAATCTTTTTTATGAAGTGTTGTTTACATCTATTAAGCCAAGCAGAAGAAGTTTCATACCAATAAAATACTTTTAACTATTGTTTTTAGATTTTCTAACTTTACAAGATCATTCATTAAATGTAATTCATGTAATAATAATAATGATAATTAGAAAAGTAAAGCAAGGACACCTGCTAAAGATGCATTATTTCCAATAAAAGTGGGAATCGATTAGGATATGATTTAAAAATGGAAGAATGAAGATGTCAGTCACAATTTAAAGCATACTGCCATCTTTTGGACAAGACTGGAAACTGCAGGTCAAGGACAAATGTTCTTTTTCTCTGAATACTACATTCTACATAGTTTTTGTGAGGATAGTACCAGAAAATCATATTTCACATTATCACATCATATTGTTGCTCTCCTCTCAATATATTCATAAAATGTACAGAATATGTAGGCATGGGACATCTTAATGAAACTGAGTTATAGACCATTTTGGAAAATGTGCTGCCCCTCAGCCCCATCTCAAAGAGTCATCTTCAACTTGCATCTCCTGCTATGTGACAAAATAATATTACTTAATAGGTCCATCAATAGGGACACTGATTACAGTAGTGCTGAAAAGAATGACACCTGTACAGAATTAACTGGACAGGATAATGGGGGCAATATCAAATAGTGATGGACCAAGCCTTTACAAGGATTTACAAAATATGGCATTTGTTTAAAAAAAAAAGGAAAAGAAAGAATAAAATGCTAGTGGCATCAGTTACACACACTACATTGGCCATACACACCAAGCAAGGTGTTTTGTTACTGCATGACATCTACCTTAGGTGTATCTTACATGTCTGGACCAGTCTTGTGTATAACATGCCCACTTTTTATCTGCAGTGAGAACAGATGTCAGCTCACAGAAGCACATTATATAGATATAGGGCATTGCTTCTATTCTGATTCCTGGGGAAGAATGCATTATTTTAGTTCAGTTAAACCAAGCAAGCAGTTTGTGTTAAACTGCATCTTATTCACAGACAGATTTGGACAGGAAGAATCTACTAAACAAACCTAGAAAAATAAACGAGTTTAGGTAAAAACAAAGAAAGCAAAAATGCTGCATTTGACTCAATTTATTGAAGATAATTAAATATTTTTCAATTAAGAGTTATGAGAGCCTGTAGTCAGCCCATGCTACACAGTTACTAAAGGCCAAAAGTATGCACAGTTTCTGTGTCAAGTGTCCAAAAGCCGGCATCTCATTGTAAACAATGACACACTATGAAAGAGAGTGGCAATCTGTTCTACCAGCATCAGATATGATCTTCACTTGTCACTGTGCTGGGTGAACTCCTTCAGAGCCCAGTTTTTCATTTCTATCTCCTGTCGTAATCTGCAGTACTCCTCAGCCAGGGCCTCAAACTCTTTGCCCAAGATCTCAAAAGAAGCCAGTTTTAACTCCACAGACTGCTTCTCGAGCCGACAGGCCTTCAACTCAGACTCCAGCTTCTCTCTGAAATTGACATGAAGCAGAAAAGACTTAATTTTCAGCATTAGCCCAGCCAGACTGTAGCTCCTGTTAATAGCTTTACTGAAGTCTTGGATAAGGAGAGATTTAAAGAACACCATAATAGTGAGAAATAGTATGCATGTCTTCCACTACCATCACTAAGTTGTCCTCCAGAAAATATCTATGCTCAAAGTGCTCCAGTGGAGAAACATGAACAATATTGGCATTTCATGATAAACATTAGAAACAAGTCAGACAGAATGACACAAAGTCTCTTGCCTTATCTTTCTATGAGCAGATATTGTGTCACTTGTGTAGGTGTCCAGCTGAATTTCCACCATCTCGGTCCTTGGAAGGAAACAAAAAAAAAAAAGCAGATGTGAGAAACAGAACTGGATGTATGCGTATTGTTTCTTCTTTTTTGTCTTTAATATAATAGTTTTACTATGTTTGACCCTGAAATTTTGGTATTACATGCTAAATAAAAGTAGTTATCATGGTTTAAAATGCCAGTATGTGTAGGGA